CCCCCCCCCCCCCCCTGCTTATTCACCTTCATGATGGTCTACTGCTCTTTTTAAATGATACCAGTTTCACAATATTTTGCGGCTCTCTAATACAATCTCTCTCTCTCTCTCTCTCTCTCTCTCTCTCTCTCTCTCTCGTTGCTATGAGCCTATGATTATTCATTTGTCAGAATATTTCATAGAATGATTCAGCACCAGCTTAAGTGTCACATTCATAATAATGCACTAGCAGAATACAACTTGTAGGAGGAACAATGGCCTCATCGCAAACCTAGTGAGCTCAAGCTGGTTTCCTGTGGCTTCCCCTCACATGACCTCTTACTCAATAGATATATTTTTTGTTTGTCTCTTCACACAAAATCTTCAAAGCAAAGAGGGAACGGCAGGAGTTAGCATCACATCAGGCAAGGTGTAAAATTGATGGGAATTGCTAAACGTCTGGTGTGAATTTACCACTGAGCCTTTCATAAAGGGATTGACACTTGAAGGTCAGTATGTACGTTTTATATAACTCGACTTATTAAAATATTCTAAGAGCAAAGGTTTTAACAGTTTCTCTCTGGAGATCATAGTGTTAGACCCAGACATTTACATTTCTTGTAACATGCAATTTATATATAGGAGGAGGAACTTAAGTCTCAGCAGTTAGGTTTCCTGATTTTTTATCAAATAAATGGGGCAAAATTAAAAGTAAAAAAACATTAAATATTTATTTAATATTTGAAAAAGGCACCTCATGACCATTTGTGAGTTATATTTTTTCTGGGCAAGACAATGACTGCAGCTTTCTGTGGAACGTGTGTGTTTGGAGTCAGAAGTTTGATACATTTACAGTGATCCTGTCTTTTCTATTCCTTAGTCATTATGTGGTATAAAACACAACTTTTACCTTATTGATCAAATTATTGACCAGATTGGATTTATTTGGACAATTTTACACAAAATGCAGGAATTTAAACAATCAATATTTTGTATAATGTACAGAATAATAGCTTACACTGAAAGATTTTACATGCAAACTATTGTTCTGTAATTTTCCATTTGTTTGCTGCATGCAAATCTTACGCAATGATTATTTCACATGCTTGTCACATGGTAAGAAACATATGAAGTGGCACCGCATCTATAGACTTTTTATTACAGCAGCCATTTTGACATGAAATAGTAGGGTAAACACAGGTGTTACCAGTGATACGAATTTCAAAGTTCTATTCCATTCAGGTCAAACAGAGTCAGGGTGCTGTTACTGCACATGTTGACTTACTGGAAAGGTTCTGCTACACTAAATGGAACGGAAACCTAATGAGTATCATAGACCTGGGCTGACATTGCTATTTTATGTAAAAATGGCTGTTGCGAACCACCTCCACAGAGGCAGCCCCCGACCTTTGACATCTTTTATGCATGTATGTTGATTATAGGAAACTCTGTTGTTCATCCAATATATAGTTTATAGATACAATAAAACTGATAAAAAAAAAACTCTTGTGCAATAGTTCTCAGAATTGACACAGCTGAGACAGCTCACAGGCCGTAATACATAATATCCTGTTTCCTTCCTGCCTGTCTTTTGAAAGGTTGTGTCAGTTTCACAGTTGTGAGAGGCAAACTCAGATTCTTCAGAGGTCTTTCCGATGGCATCCAATATCACCGCCACCACTTCCCAGCACTCCCCCTCTGCTGCTTCAAATCCCATCAGCGCCTCAGCCCAGGCCGGCATCGCCATCTTGACCCTGGCGTTTGTGCTCGGCTTTCCCGGGAACCTTTTTGTGGTTTGGTCGGTTCTCTGCCGGGTGAAAAAGCGCTCAGTGACCTGTTTGTTGGTGCTGAACCTGTCTATGGCGGACGCTTTTGTGTTGCTCAGCACTCCCTTCTTCCTGCGCTACCTGGCTGGAGGCCAAGGCTGGGAGTTTGGCTCGGCGGCATGCAAGCTGGTGCATTACCTGTCAAATGTGAACATGTACGTGTCGATTTACCTCATCTGCCTGATGAGCATGGATCGCTGGCTGGCTGTAACAAGGCCTTTTCTGTCTCAGAGAATGAGAACCAAGCGCTCCCTGTTGGTTCTCCTGCTGGTGGTCTGGGTGTTAGCGTTCATTCTGTCACTGCCGATGCCTTTCTACCGCAGGTGAGACTAAAATTTGCTTTGTACCTTTTAACCTTTTAATCTCTTTTGTTAAATTTGTAGTTGAGTTTTTAGTGGCTGCCACATGATATGTGATGTGTGTGTCTGCCAAAACCTGCAAAATTGTTGGTTGTCTTTATTATCTGTTGACGGAGCAACTTTAGATTATACTTTATTATATATTCTTCCCCTCTTCTTCTCTGACAGCAATCTGACGAAGACATTTCCAAACAATATCACTCTGAGATTTTGTGTGCCATACCACTGGGACAGCAATGGTCACAAGGTCTTCCAGTACCTGTTTGAGACCATCATGGGCTGCCTGCTGCCTTTCTCCCTCATCAACACCTGCTACTCCTCTGTCATCTGCCGCCTGCAAAACGTCAAGTTCCAGCGCAGAGGACAAGGCAGCCGCCTCATCCTGCTGATCATCTGTGCCTTTACAATATTCTGGCTGCCCTATCACATCGTCAACATCATAGAGGTGATTTTTTATTTAGCTTTGTGTAGATAGGATCAGGGTGTGTCCAAATTATGCTTCCATAACAGAATGTTTCGGAGCAAACAAATTATTGTGATGAATAAACAGAGCAATAACCTTCAACTATCAGTCATCATCATCAGTCAAACTGCAGACATTTTACTAAAATGTAAAAAAATTTGTATTTTCTATCATTTTGAAAATGCTTATCTTGGCAATAAGTACAAATATTTGCAATCACATGGATGAATGCATCTTTTTTTTAACTAAAATAGGTGGAAAGATGTATTTGGATATATTTGGAACACGACAGTCCTTGACAGGAAGGATTCAACTACACATCTTCACAATTTTTAAGATTAGACATAGTACAGGAAATGTGTAATATTATAGATCTTATGATTATAGATCTTGTTTAAAACAGCCAAAATCACAACATACAACACCTAAATCCCCTTCCTCTGTGAACTCCAGTTGTTACATAAAAGCTGTGGGTTATGCCACTTACGTTGAGCAATGTCACTATCATTACCCATTATCGTTACTAGAATGTAAAAGCTTCTCAGGTAGCAGTTTTTATCTTGATCTTTTATCTTGAAAGGTGGAAAGATGTGTTTGGGTATATTTGCACTAATACAATCCTTGACAGGAAGGATACAATCACACATCTTCACAATTAAGATTAGACATACTTATGTGTAATTTATCATATATCCTTCCTCTAACCCCTTCCTTCTCTCTCCTCCAGGTGGTCGGTGTGTTGCAGGGCAGTGACTCGGTGATCAAAGCTGCCAAAACAGCCCGTCCAAATGTCACGGCCTTTGCTTACTTCAGCAGCGCTGTCAACCCCATCCTCTACGTGTTCGCCGGCAGCTCCCACATCCGCCAGGCTGGCTTCAGTTTCATGGGCAAGCTCTTTGAGGGCACCAACTCGGAGAGCAGGACCACGTCTACCTTCGCCCGCAGCGGCCGTAGCAGCTCTTCACCAGATGAGAGCTCCGTCCTGCACGCAATGTCAGTCAAACTGGGGAGGCCTTTCAAAGGCAAGAACAAGGAGAGCAACAGTGTGGCGGGAACGGACGGACCTGAACTCAAGACTCTGGCCAGTATTGAGCAGTTAGAGTAGCTGACTGCTAAGCTATGCTATATTTCATTCCAGCCATTCTCCTTGGACTACTTTCCTTAATTTAAATTATTAGACACAGACTATGTTGACTTATATATGTATATACACATATATTTGCTATTTGCTTCATTTGTTGTCTATGCAGTTATAAAAACATCTGTCAACAGAAGCTCCAGCTCATTGCTAGTTGAAGAATAAACTCCTGGGAATGTCATGGCAAGTAGATGGACTCTTTGAAAGCTCTTTGGAGTATATATCTATTTAACTGTGTATACAACCTGGTCTCACTCCCAAGTCATCAAAAACTGCAGTTCGTCAGTGGCCCCAAAATAAAGTGTTGTGGTATAAAAAGCGAGGGCCATTGACCAAGTGGCAATATTTGACGATTTGGGAGTGAGAATATGTTTGTGTATATTAAAAAGGAAAAGGACTGCATATTTATGGAAAGCTAGCGGCATGGCTCTAAATGAAAATGTTGGTCTCTTGGTCGGTGGGTTGGTCCAACACTTTGGTCCAGATGTGAAAATCCGGAAATATCTCAACAACTACTGGATGGATTGCCAGGAAAGTTGAAAATCCCGGTCCCCAGAGGATGAATCCTAATGGTCGTGCCACCAGTGGGTCACAGTATTTGAAATATCTCAACATTTATTTGATGGATTGACTCAAAATTTTATACAGACCATCATGGTACCCAGATGACAAATGACTTTGATGATCCCCTGACATCTAGAGCCACCATGAAGTTGGCATGTGGTTTTGAATGAAATGCCTCAACAACCTTTGGACGGATTGTTCCCATGAGCCTCAGTTAATAAAGAAATGTTTACATGTAAACACGTTAAGCTAAGATTGTGAACATGGTAAATGTTATAGATTGTGAGTTTGTTTCCATGCTAGCATTAGCATTTTGTTCACTGTGTGTGTTCACTAAACCTCACAGGGTCACTAGCATAGCTGTCTTGTTCAGAGAAGAAAGGACTGTTCGCATGTAAAACCATCACCCAAAACATTCTTACTTGTGTTTTTTCTAATCAAAGCATTGTTGTTCCAGAAATGTAGCATTTTTTACCATCTGTTTGTATAAATTATCACATATATTTCAAATGTGTAGGAATGGTTATATTTTTTTCATTGAATAGTAATGTGTATGGTCATTTGTAGTCAAAGACAAAAGACACAATTTGTTAACTTAATAAAGCTTTTTTAATATTGAATTTCTGCTGGTCTGCATTATTATTGAGAGCTCCAGACAACTGCATGAAGTATTGTCCTTTACCGACGTATGATGTTGCATTGCTATTACATAAATGTTCAGTTTGAATAGAACATTTTGTAAGCAACATTTCATCAAAGTATCCTTCCTTTCACGTTATTTACCATATTCGTCATCCACTGTTTCACAAGACCTGACTGAAACGGCCAAGTTACAACATTTCATGTGGTTTATCTACTTCCAGATTCAGAGCTTGCCTCAAATTTGCTGAATATCACTTAGCGCTAGCCAAAAGGAAACATTGTCACACGAAAGATGAGTCAGATAAATTACATGGATTTCAAAAAATCTTGACTAAGAACATCCTGGATACACAACTATATGATGACCAGTTTAAACTGCACCTAGCAACCAAGAGGCCCGGTCCCATTTATGAATGTTAAAAACCTCCATCTAAAGAGGCCAAGACCCACTATTCACAGACTTCTATATCTTGTGGTGTCTCTGATGCTTTCAGTCAGTCAGAGAGGTCATAGCAGTCAATAAAACATTACTAAACATGAACAACTGCACAAAACTGTCTGCTGAGGACGGCAAGTAAGTTCAGAATACAGGAAGTTCACATTCACATTCAGAAATGTCTACATTTAGTTTTACAAAACAATGCTTTGTTTACATCATTTGCAAAATATTGTTTGTCAGATGAAGCCATAGAGAATAGTCTATAAAAATGAATAGAAAGCATGCTTTGAAAGACCCTGTTTTAATGTCATGCAAGCTTCCTGTTTTTTAAAAGGGAATGGATCCTAGTTTTCAAAGGCCTAAATGAAGTCACTTTACACCATGTTGTAAATGGCCTGAAATACTATTTGTATAAGGTCTGGGTTCTCCTGACTGAACCTTAGTTGAGGACCAATAAGATGATTTCAAAGCAGCTCTGCCTCTGATCATTTGTAATGACACTGCGCAGAATTTTCTCATTTTCTTGAATGTCAGTTTTGGACTAGTAGGCCCATGAGGGAAGAAGCAGTATGCTACAGTGTTTGTTATTCGTTTGTCTAATTTCCTTAATCTACACTATTATCTACAACACTATTCAGAACACCATCATGTTTAAAAAACCGTTTTCGCTCACATAAAAGATGAATAACCAAAATAACCTTAGAAACTAATGTTTGCTGATTTGGAGTGATTCCCCTAAACCCTAAAAGAACTTAAAGGTCAAAAAGTACCTTTTTGATCACTGACTTCAGAGTGTTGTCCTTTTGAGGACATTAGTTTTTAATAAAATAAGTAATGCAAGAAAATAAAAAGTCAAAGGACAGCAAGAAGAGAACATCTTCAATGACAATGGCAAATGATCAAAAAGTATATAAAAGACTGAATAACTGTAGTTGTTCATTTTATTATCTTCCTACCCTCTCCTATGCAACACACACTCAGTCTTAGCCAACGTCAACCTCTATCACTGATGACAGGAAGCTGTTGTTCTGTAGTGTGTGAAAAAAGCAGATAAATAGGACAACATTACTGCAGAAGATTTGATGTTGTGGGTTGTGTGACCTCATTTAGCATATTTTTTGTTTGATTGAAGTGGTTGACTGACATTTTGGAGAATTAAAAATGTATGTGTGGAACATCTTGAACTTGAAGAGGTGATGTTCAGTTGATTTAATTTGACTTTGGTTTCTGCTTTGGTGCACACAATATTCCCATGTTTTTATTTTTTAATGAAACTTTTATTTCGTAAAAAATTGTCAAAATGTCTTTGTGTTTTCCTTTGTTCTGCTGATGTTAAAATTTAGATAGCTTGACTTAATTTACCATTCGACCCACTTGACTATACTCGCCTTTCTTCCCTCAATTTGTTTCAGTCCTTGGCAGGTACAACTATGATGACATAATCATCAAGGGTTATTTCCTAAAAGTTAAGAATGTCCTTCAGACCCACAAAAGCTGCTGACGAGTGCTCCCAATGACGTGTAAACTGACCTTGATGTATGCCGTCAGTGGATTTTCCCTTTCAGGGCTGTCTGACAGAAAGCAGAAGTTATTCTTTTTAATTAACTGATAGGAAATTGGGAGAGATAAAAGTGGGGAAATATACGCAACAACTGTACCTTGTTGGACATCCACATGACGACTGTGTGGTTATGTCCTGATTTTACCCTAACCATGGTTTTTCCCTGAATCTAAACCTAATCTAAGTAATTTTGTGCCTTAATTTAATTAACCATAACCATAGAGTGTGTCATACTACTACTACTACTAGAACTACAACTACTACTACTACTACTAATAATAATAATAATATTAAACTATATTTATATAGCACTTTTTTAAACAAGGTTACAAAGAGCCTTACTGAAAAATAGCAGATAAAAACCTAATCACACATTTAGCAAATGTCGTGGTTCCTAGCTGATTCTCTCTCCAGCCAAGCACATCTAAAGAACACTTACCTGTGCCCTATAACCTAGGTATCAGATGAGTTTCTATATTATACATTTGCAGTTAAACGTTATGTTAGCGCCTGCTTAAAGGTCCAGTGTGTGGGATTTAGTGGCATCTGGCAGTGTAGTTGCTGATTGAAATGCCTCATCCTCTCAGTCTAAGTATGTCTGAGAATCTATGGCGGCTGTGAAAATTGCGGAAAACGCAAAAGGCCTTATCTAAAGCCAGTATTTGGTTTGTCCATTCTGGGCTACTATAGAAACAGCTCAACATGGCAACTTTCATGGAAGAGGACTCCCTCTGTAGCTAAAAATGGCTCATGCTAAGGTAACAAAAACATTCTTACTTTCAGGTGATTATACACTAATGAAAACATACCTATGCATATTATATTAAATTTCTGCCATTAGATAATCCTAACTGGGCCTTAAGTAGACTGACTTTTATCCTTCTATGTATTTAGACACAGGCTGGATAACACAACCGAGCGCATGCTTCTATTAGCATCTAAATAATTAAATAATTAAAATCAAAATGTTAAATTCAGTATCAGGTAGTAAAAAAACCTGATACTGATATAATACTGATACTGAACCTGATAAACTGGGAACATTCAGTCCCGCATTTAGCAGTTTAGCATCGAATTAGCAATGTTAAGATCAAAAGGCACACACAAAGCCTGACTCATCTACATCAAATATGAAACACACAATACGATACACACAATCTATTGCTTAGCAAGCCATTGCTATTTTCTGGTGCCTATATCATATGTGTCAAAAAAGCATAGCTGTCAGTTTGGAACCCACTGGCATATAACACAGGATGTTTTTGACAAGAAATGCATAAGACAACCGTTAACTTAAATGCTGAGGTTGTGGTCATGACCTGCAGCCGCTGAAGCAACCGTCACTTTCAGCTAGAGGTGTTAACAGAGTTATTTTTCTTATTTCTATCTTCCTTTCCTTGTTTGATCATTGTCTTTTTTGTGTATCAGAGCCTGAATCAAATGCCTAAATTTCTATTTCTTGAGGAACACAGATTAACAGATTAACCGCCTAATCGGCAGTTTCCTTTAGCTTTAGCTCGTTGTTTAGCTGTCCAGCCCACAACTTTACTGTTAAACTCTTGCCGTTCTCTTTGTTTTCAGCCACAGTAGGCAGCTGTTCAATGAAAAAGCTCCTAAAACCCACACTACTTGCTCACCACCAAACAACACTCACTAGCTGTTGAGTATAGTAGAGAATTTACAACCTGATAATTTAGCCACTAGAAATTTTTCTCAGGACTTGCTAGAAACCAAAAACAGAGCTAGAAGCTTACATTTGCCAAGTGGGCAGAAACAAGACTCCAAATGAATGATAATGTTGCTCCATAACTGCTACATGTTTGCCCACAAGTTGGCTATACGAAATTAAAAGGTGATTATACTGTATGTCAGTGTTGTGTTCACAACAAAGTGGCCAAAAAACAATTCATGCAGCTTTAAAAACATACCAAAACTTTAAGAAAGAAGCACACATAGTGAACATATCAGTGTGAATATTACACATTTAAATCTGTTAATATCTGCTCTGCACACAGTTCTTGATTAACCTACACCACGAGTCCTGTTTCCTGTCACATGTATATATCCCGAGGACAGCATCTGAGTAATAGAAGTTATCACAGTAAGACAACAGAATGGACAATATTGAATTGTGTTTTCTCTATATGGGTTCTGTCTTGACTCCTGAAACCTGCTCAAACCTGGTCATGTCGCAGACTGTTCTAAAGTGGTCTCATTGAGGCAGGCCCAGTCCTGGTTGTCCTTTAGCAGCTACATGTTTTACTCACATTAAATCAATTGGTGCCAAATTTTAGTACATGCGAGTGCATCTGGGTGATAGAGTAGCATAGACAAAAAGAGAGAGTGTAAGACCAACATTACATTGCCCGCTACTGCTTATTTAAGTCACAGTGAGTTATTAAAGTATTTCTGAATCTGAATCTGAATCTGAATCTGAGTCAGGTTATGCAGACTGTGTACTGCAGCAGTGAGAAGTTGAATCCTCCATGCCGATGAAACTGAGGCATCACTAGTTGGATCAGTTGTTCTTGGATATAACTGGGCTGGTTGAGGTTACCTACGTATTTTCGCCAACCCTCACACTGTGCACTGTAGACAGGCGGTGACTGACAGGTTTGGAAGGGGACAGGGATGGAAGGGTTTTATTTTGTGTGTTCCAAATAAATGACAAAATGTTATAATGTTGAGGGGAGAGAGTAAAGTACCGATGTACCAAAAAAAGGTATAGTATCCAACCATAGAGTTCCTGGTAACGCTTTATTTGAAGGGGTGTGCATTAGACTAACATGCCACCATCGTAACCATGAAGCCGTCTTTCTGAATTATTTATTTAATGACTGTTGTCATTTGGTCAATATTTGGTCAATATTTGGTCAACAATTGGTCAACAATTGGTCAATTATGTCACTTAACTTGACATTGTTTAAGATGTCTTTGGTATGACAACTAGACATTAAGCGAGACAGCATACCCTGTCAATGTCTTTTTTTATGACAACTTGCCATCACATTAAATTGTCACATGTGGTTGGTTTTGACATTGTCATGATCATGACAGGTGTCATGTCAGACCCCTTCAGACAAAGTGTTACCTAGTTTCGTCAGCAGAATTACATTTCTCACATTCTGCCAGGAATGGGTAAGGAACACGCTGCCAGATCTGTGTATGGGTGTGGCATATCCCCCAGGTTTTCCCAGCACCCCTCCATGGGGTCATATCGATGCACCCGATTGGTATTGCCTTCTGTGCTTGCTGAAGACCCTCCCAACACATATAACTGTCCATCAAGCACAGTTGCCCCTGGTGACAGATGAGGTTGAGGCAGGGCGGGGATGGAGGACCAGGAGTTATTTGTGGGGTCGTACATCTCGCAGAGGAGTTGGTCTCCAAAGCCCATCCAGAGTGGCTGCAGCCCCCCAGCTACCACTAACCCCCTCCCCAAAGCTAACATGGCATGGCCCGCACGTCCCGCTCCCACAGTCATGGGCGCTCTGGTGGAACAGCCACGGGAAGGATGGTAGTGCCACATAGAAGGAAGGCAGCGCTGATGGGGGTCACAGCCTCCAGAGATGTAAATCTGCCCATCCAGAACAGCCGCAGCATGGCCGCAGACAGCTGTGTCCAGAGGGTGAGCCCGCCTGCAGGGAAGGAGACCAAAGGTTACACGCAGAACAAAGGTATCTACTGCTAACTGTTTACTTGTACAAAATGGCTTTTTGACACATTGTTTTAAACTTATTCTCCTTGAGATGCCAAGTTATTTTTAATGACATTTGTAATTTATGGTAAAATAATTGTTATATTCCTAAACTTTAGATCTGGCCTCAAAGTTAAAATAAAGTAATTTGTGTATTAATGCGAAAACACAGCATGGACAGACATATTTTCTGTGCAGCCCGACAGTATACTGACCTCCAGGTGTTGTCCTCAGGAGTGTAGTACTCCACAGCATCCAGGTATTGGCTGTCGTCACGGTTACCACCCAGAACGAAGACTTTACCGTCCAGAGACACAGCAGAAAAGTAATCTCTTTGAGTCATCATGTCAGGTAGTCGTTGCCATTTGCACTGAGACAGGTCAAACCTACAGGGAGGGGCAGAGCAGATAGTAGGACACCAAATAGAAAATAAAACTTTATTCCAAGAAAAATGTAATGTAATTGCAGTTTTTCCAGACAATTTAACAGTAACTTTTACTAGAGAGGAATCATCATTAAACCGACAGTGACTGATGACTTTGTCAGAGATTAGTGCTCAACAGTTTCCATAAATGTTTTGAAACTGTGATCTGAACTTTCAAAATGTCAAGCAGGATGTTGCATAAGGAAGGCTAGTTTTGGCATAGCGGGCATGTCAGGCGCTATTGCAAAATCAGAGACCATGTCTTTAAAATACAAATAAAGTTCTAGTTTACTGGACTGACAATTTGGAGAATTTGACATCTTTCCTTTACCCATATGATAAAACCTGAACCGCATGTATCAAAACAACAGTAGCTTTGCAGGAGGATGTTGCATCACATGTGTTATAGACTCCAGTCCTGCAGCTGTATGGGTGAGTCAACCCTCCTCCCTCCCCCAGGCCAGGCAAAGAACAGAACAGTCAACATCATACTTGCAGGGCCGGCCTCCCATGCTGCAAGCATTTTTTATAGAAGGTACACCAAATCCCCTGCAGTGTCCTAATCTTTTCACGGTGCAACAGTATCTTGGCAGATACGGAATATAATATTCATAGATATGTTTTCTTTAGTGTTTAAACACCAGAAAATAAGAATCATATGTGTATTTGTTACCTTAGAATCAGCTGATTTTATCTACCGAAGTCTTCTGTTATATTGAACTGAAATTGATTTGCGGTTTTGACTGTTGCTCAAAGTATTTCACTCATGCTTCCTAACAACTTATCAGCTGCTGAAAGGTGCACTAAGGTGATATCTCCGGTTAAAGGGTTTCCTTCACACACACACACGCACACACACAAACACACACAACCTACCTCAAGGCAGTCTTGAGGATATCTAGCACTCCGTAGTACTTGCGTCCTCCCAGGACATACAGTTTGTTGTTGAGGAGACAGACGCAGTGTCTGAACCGGGCCGGTTTAGGGAGCTTGGCGAATGGCCTCCAATCTATGCTTCTGATTAGACCAGGTCCGCGATGGAACTGCTGAGCAAACCACAAGGTCTGGCTTGGAACCCTCCTCATGAACTCATCATCGATAGCGTCCCCACAGACCAGAACCAGCACCTAAAACCAAGAATAAGTATTGAGAAATATATTTGAATATATAGAAAAAACACTGGAAGAAGTAGAGAATGTTAAAAAGATTTATCCTTTTCAGTTACCTAAGTCTCCACATCGATATACAATAATATGATTTTATAAAAACAATGTTAAAAGTAATTATTGTGCGTACGTGGTTTGGGGTGCGAGATCGGCATTCAGGCCCCCTGTAATCCCCCTCCAGGAGGCTTCGGAGTACCTCCAGAGATCCTCTGGCCCTGGTACTCCTGCGAAGGAGGCGGCAGTTTAGGGCCTCGTTGAGCTCAGAGATGCTGAGGAGTGGGAAACGAACATGGTGGAGCAGGCCTGGCAGAACTGGTAGTCTCTCTTTAGGGTTGTCCTCCACCCAGCTCACCACTGCCCTGAACACCACTATCTGAGAATGAGGAGAGGAAATGTATGCAACTTAAGAGGTTTAAAAAAATTGCATCAAGGATCCAATAACCACAATTACAGTATAATAGTTACGTCTGATTAAAATCCTGGCTCTCAAATTTTCTTGCAGGGTTTTTCAGGGACCAGATAAATGTGTTTTAACAATATGCAGATTTTTTTTAATAATTAACTTTAAATTCAAAGCCAGTACTTTTTATTTTTTCTCATTTACAATGTTATGAAATGGAAGGAGATCCTCTAATTTGATTACTGGAATCAACAATTGTTCTCTGTGTAATTCTTGTATATACCACCAGATAGAGCCAAAGTAAAATATTTTCAAATCATAAGCACAATGGCCAGCAGGAATAACTTTACACAATCACATTAAAGATCTGCTATAAATGGCTGCTTTTCTGCTTTTTTTACATAAAAAATAAACCATTCAAACAATAGTAAACTACTCTTAAGAAATCTTGGCAAATAATAATAAGTCAATTCAGGTCAACAGACAAAAAACTGAAACAAAAAGAAAGAAAGTATTGCCTCTTACTTCATTTCTAAGTGCATATGTTGTGTGACTGTGGCAGAAAATAAAATACATCACATTCAAAATGTTCACAAAAAGTATCTGGTTCTGTAGAAAATTTTTCCCCAGAACTGATAAAATATTATATCATATTACTCTTCAAAGGGGTGATAAATCTGATGGGAGAAGAAAGAAGAAAAAACAAAACAATTATGTGATACACAAATCTATATTATATTTTTCTTTTGGACTTTTCTTTTTTTTGCTATTTTGTAAAATATTAGATACCTTTATCTATCGATTACTTAAATGAGAACAGAGTTGTTGGCAGAACAAGCAGTTTGTAGAAAGATCGCTTTTGTATAAATAATAACAAACTCACAGACATCTTAAACAATGACAACAGGCCCCAACTGCTTTTTTTGTCAAGGGTCACAAAAAGGTTGGGAACCATTAATTTTATCTTAAACAGTACAATCTGTAAGCTTATTATACGTGTTTTAATGTTAATATAGAATCTGTAGCAGTATCAGTAACTACAGCTACAGCAATATTTGCATCTGAAATGTAGTCGAGTAGAAGTATAAAACAGCATATAATGGAAGTACTCAAGTACCTACATTTTTTTTTAAAGTTCAGTACTGGAGTACTTTGAGTACCACTGGACTCTGGGCTGGATTAAAGATAGACAGAAATAAAAGGAACATTACCTCACTCTCTACACACAATGAGTCCTTATCAAGCAACTTGTCCAGGAGGTAACAGGGGACATCCTTGAACTTCTCTCCTGCAGAGATGCACTGGAAGTGGGCTTGGATGTACTGCTCTGCACCCAGGCCCAGCTGGACCAGCCCATAGGTCTCAGCCAGGACTAGCACATCCAGACAGGTGCTTTCATCCATTCTTGCCAACAGGAAGTCAATGCACAGTGAGAGTGCCCCCAGCAGCTGGAACTGAAACAGTGCATCTGCGAGCTCCCATATCTGGCCCCATCCCAGACTGAGCTGGCCCGTGTAGATGAAGCCTAGTATGGATTCAATGACCCAGGCTTCCACACCTCGCAGGCACACAATGTCCTCAGTGCACTCCCGTAACCCTCCACAGAACAATGCCCGGAAATAGTCGCCACCTGCAGCTAACACCACACGGTGTGCTGAGAGGTAAGGGAAGGACACAGACAGATAGGGGATACAAAGTGAACAAACTGGTAAATGATGAGAAAAAGATAAACAAAGAGGGATACACAGGTAGGGCTTTTTTTTTTTTTTTTACCAAAACTACAGTGTCTAAAAAAATGTCTAAAAGGTCTAAAAATGTATGATGTCTTATGAGTCTTTCTGTAGGACCAGACAAAGGCACAAACTGTGACTTCACCCAGTGACAGCCCTCTTACTCAACAGCATATCTCATACTGCAGATATTCATTTTCCATTTCAGACAGAATCTCTTACATTTCTTTTATGATGAACTGTTTCATTTTTTTTCAATTTTTTTTGCAGTTACAATGTTGGGTCAGCATGTGTCATGGAGAAGTAATAGTAACAACAGGAGTGACTCACTATTTATGACTGGAAAAACTCAATTTGTTTTGCTTTCTATCACTGACACTACTTTCTCCTCCTACCTGCATAACAAACAGCTGATAGCAACAAGTTTATGAACTATTCTGGGAAGGAGATGAATAAAAAAAGATTTATATTAATATATTAAACAGAATAAAATACAAAACTGGCTGAGAGTGGTAGTCATGTTTTGGTATAATGTTGCACTCCTGTTGTCAGACTCTAAATGGACATATTAATAATATTTATTAAACATAAATAATAAATAATATTTTTTAATAATTAATAAATAAAAGATGTTCTATTATTATTCCAAACATTAAAACATTAGTCAAAAACCTGGGCCTACATTACCCAACTTGACTGCCAACAGTTAAGTAAGAGATTCAGGTGTGTTAATGGCTAGAACTGTTCAGACTTTTGTGGAGCCCTATTTTTTGGGGTTAAGAGGTTAAATGCACAAATATACTATTAATAAATTTAAATTCATACAAAAAATATTTAACTTGCAAACAAAATGAGGACCCACAGAAATGTTGCTCCACAGCACTACAAGTGGTCAAAGAATCCTAAGGGGTACTTTATGTTTTTTTTTGCAAAATGACCCTCTGCAATGCTTTGCTGGAATTTTTTCAAGCAGTGTTAATGTCTTAACAGCCTTACGCTTTGAGCATACTGCATCATCCTTTGTCATTTTAGTCATTTGAACAAACCGACAAATTCTGTTGTTTTTCTGGTGAGGACCGTCAAGAGGACATCTTTGGTTGCCTCTCACCTGAGTATCTCTCTCCACTCTCTGCTTGTATTGTGACGTCACAGCCGACACCTCTCTCCCACAATTCATTGATGATCGTCAAGCTCTTCTCTCTCTCTGTGGCTGCAGAGGTTTCTACCATTGATGTGCACCTTTGCCTCAGTCTCTCCATCTCAAGACACCTGCAAGCATTCAGCACATCCTCCATTACACCCTCTCTACTCAAGTCCACGACTACATCTCCACAGTACGCAAAGTCCAGAACAACTCTCAGACCAACTGGGGTCAAATGATTGGCAATTTCCTCCACCCCAAGCCCAGACTTTTGTTTTGACAAAAAAAAATCATCGGGGGTTTGACTGGCTGCTGCCAGCACAAGTCTGTGAGCTTGGAAGGAGTTGCATTGGGGAGGAAAAATGCAGTCCAAGAGTAGTTCTTCCTCCTGAAGGCTACGTAAGTGGGTGAAGAGAGTGTTTGAGTGTGAGGGAAGGATGTAAGTGAATAGACCTGAATCCACGGGGTGAGATGATTGGAGATGGTGAAGAGGGTGACAGGCCATAGACTCTGCCATGTGCTTTAATTCTGTATTTGTAGCACATTTTTGGTTTTGCAGGTGCATTCTTGGTGCTCCTTTTCGCCCAGCTTCATCCATATCTGTTTTACTTGGTCTTCCTTCTCTAACTCCACCTCTTCTTATTCCTCCATCTTATTGTATCTCTTCATAATTTGTTGATGTGTCACCAGATCCACTTGCTTGTTACGATGCAGATAACCAGTCATTTCCTGTCAGAGTGCATTGTACAACAACAAGGACAAAATGGGAGAGGCAAGATAAGGAAAGAGCATGGACAAAAAGGAGGAACAGTGTGAAAGCTGCATTCCTGGAAATGTCACATACATAGTCATTGTACTTATTTACTTGAACATTGGGACATCAGACACGCATTGATTGCCCTCATGACCCCTGAGGTGTCTTTTACGCCTTCTAAATGTAACCTCACCTACAAAATGATTTGTAAACAATGTCATTATGGCGGACGCTCCCAAGTTCACTTGAGGTTACAAGCATGTCAGTCACTCTCTTTGGAAAATGTACGAGTTGAATGTCATAATACACAAACATCACACTGTTGCGCAATCCTGATGATCTAAAGTGTCTTATACTGCACAGAGGTTAATACATGAATCTGAGTTATTTCCAATTTGGAAAATAGAAATATTTGAAAAGCACTCAGTATTTCTACAATTTCCTTATTTGCAAGTGAAGTCTTTACAAATGGTTAATATCTCATTTTAGAGCAAGACTCTGCGTAGACACCTACCTTAGTGATTCCTCTACCAGTGTGGGTGTAATAAGTGACTTTGACCAGGGCACAATGGCATTGTGAGCATGTAGGGTGCAGGAGGCAATAGAGAAGGTTTAATAATAGCTGGGTACTGGAACTATGAATAATACACTGCAAAAAGTTTCCACATTCAAAGAAGTCACTCAGTATAAAGTTTAAAAAGCCCATTTTCAAACTTATTTTTCAAGTCTACCCAATTATTTTAAAAGGAGAGGGGGTTGACTTTGACCTTGTCTTTTTTTATTGCAAGTTTTAAAACAGAAGATACTACATTTTGTTGAAACTGGAGTAGTCAGCTAGATTTCAACATATTTTTATTTTAAGAAACCTACCTAAGTATATTACAGATACGGGAATACCTAACTGACCCCCTGATACTCCCCTTTTTGTGGGCAATTTTAAATTGATAAAATCTTATTGAAAGGTTTTTTTTTGCAGTGTGTAAGTGTCAACATCAACAACAACACTACTACTGGTCTTTCTCAATAGTACAATATTCTGTTTGCTTATATGTTACATATTTTAAAGTATAAAAACTGTGTGTGAGTTTACCTGTGTGGATGCTAGGAGCCAAATTCTTATTGTACTTCACTATCTGTTGTGTACACAATATGTTCAAAATTAGACAATTATTAGCTTCTTTTTGAATAGATATTGATTGACATTGTTTGGTGTCTTTAGACAGACATTTGACCAATGAATTGGTCTTTTAGAGTGACTGGAATCCATTCTGAAGAACTGGCCAAGGTAAGACATAGAATAGAATATAATAGGGGAGCCTATGTCTATTTTTAGAGTGTATCTTGTAAAAGCATAGGAGGACCTGGAGCTTTTTCATGTGCCCTATTGACGTAGTAAACATTAGTTCATGTACAGTCAACAATTCTGAAAAAAGCACAGGTTGAGTCATCAGCTCAGCTGTAGCCTCATCTCTGAACATTTGAAAATATGCAGTCATTTATCTTTTTTTTTCTATTCTTGGAGTGATGAGTGAAAACTTCGAACATTGGGAATAAATTATATTGAACTGAACGAAAATCTTCATCTTTTTTCATCTTCAAAAAAGAAGTTAAACAGAATAAAATACAAAACTGGCTTCAATTGTCAATATTTTTGTGCTAAACAAAAATGTGTGGCATGTGCTTCCAAGAAAATCAAAGCAAAAACAATTGGTGTGTGTTGTTCTTTGAGTTTAAAGTACATACATACTTTTACTTTTTAAAGTCTGTTCAGCTATGGTGGCTATCACTAACCACCCGCTTATTCCTCTGTTTACTACAAACTATGTGGCAGCTGCAACTTCTTGTTGTGTGACAAAGATTTTCTCAGAGTACTAGAGAACTACCAGTAACTCAATATGGAAAACAGAAAATATAAGGGGTTACTTGGGAATATGTTGGAAAAAATATTGTCAACAGACACTTTAGGTGTGTTCAAATGTAAAATTTGAATGAAAAAATTCCCAAATTCTAATATTATTCTACTATGTGAAACTAATAAAAAGTGAAAGATAAGTGTGTATGTAAAAGTTTACTTAAAGGTTCTAAAAAAGGTTATACAAAATATAATATAATAATAAATATATAAAAATCAAATTGCAGAATGTTCTGGAATACATCAGAGGGGCCTCAAAAAGAAGTAAATTTATCTATGAAATTATCTTTGTTATCTCTCTTTTTTTAGTGTGCATAATAGTAAGGTGTGTGTGTGAGGGGGGAGGAAGATGAGGAATATGGGAGGGGATGTCATCTACCTCACTGAAGGTATAAATATAAAGAGTCGCGGAGTGAAATGAAAGAAGGAACACATTTCATCTGTATCCCATTTTATTCATCTGGAATAGAAAAACCTATGTGAGTACTGTTTCTGCTATAAATTTCCTAACAAATATTATAGTATCTAACATACTTAAAGTAACGTTTTCATATGTCAGAATGATTAAAAGGTTTACTCACATTTAATTTGTTTTATTATGATTGGATACATTTTAGGATATTGTGAGGTTTTAGGACTGTTGTAAGACATTTAATCGAACTCATCGATACATGCACAGAAATGTATTTATAGACATCAAATGCCGACTTATACTGTTAGTTTGTAAGAGGGTATTACAGTATTATGACCAGTAAATTAGGTTAAATACATTTGAGACAAGTTGTAACATTGTATTTTGGTCTCACTGAAAAGAAATAATGTATTTGAAAATATGAAATAAGAAAATCTCACATAATGAATGAATAATGATAAAACGCTAACAAACTATTTTATGTTATTTTGGTATACTTAAGGTTGTCTAGCATAAGAGAAAAGACTCAAACCTTTTTATGGAGCTCAGTACATCATAGATGAGCTCAGTATCAAAGAAGACTCCCACACATTGCTCCCCCATTCAAGACTTACTGAATCAGTAATTAGTCAAACAAGAGATCCTTTTAACTGTACGAATCAATGTCAGTGAAATTAAACATTTACTAGCTATAATTGACAAAAATGGTTACAGTGGAGAATATTTACGATTAATTCTTTGGATATTTTTTTAATAAAAGGGGATTCCACAGACTCTACTCATCAAAGTCTGTTTACAATTCTTGGGGAGTACAACTGCATAATTATGTAAAATTAGCTGTAGGAAGCCTTTTGTGGCTCCAGAGGGAGCTGTGCAAAATCTGATGAATTTATCATAATTCATCATAAAAGAAAAGATATTTGCATTGATCTGTATGCTTTTTTTATCTGTCCAAACAATGTTGTGCAATGCTAAATTGCTCAAGCTCTTAACAATGCATCAAATGACCGCAGTATGTGTAATGTGAAGGGAGCTGCTCATAATGACAGACCTACAGAAAATGATCAACCATCATGCAGAGCAGCTTTAAAAACTTTGTAACAAATGTATTCAAAGTAAAAAATATGTCATATGTTGTGTTTTAAGCTTGTACCCTTCTGTATTATCAAGCGTTCTGTTTAAAGAAATTTTTCAAAGCAAACTTAAAAATGCTAACAGTTCTTAAACTGACCTTTTTCCTCCCCATACTGTTACACAGGAATCAGTAGGACGTGCCGATGGGGCAGTTCACGTCAAAGCGTGGAGGTTTGGGCACTCTCCCTCGTGTCCGCTTCTCAACCAGGGAGGAGGAAGGACCTCCGAGGTATTCTCCACACCATTTTGATGCTAGCAGGCAGCAACAAGATGGTAACCTCCAAATTCCTCCAACCATTGTTGTCTCGGACATGGATTCAAGGTTTGTGATGTTCACTAGTGACCACTTTCACTTTCCAAATCAGGTTTTTCTTTCAATTAGGGGGCAATTTGGCAAAACTGGAAAACCTTTATTCCATATTTAAGATCATTTAAAATAAGTCATACCTTTAAGTGAACATGGTTCAGGAGATCATGGTCATCTTACACTACAGACTGATTCAAATGAAACCAACAAAACTGAATGACTCAAGTAGGAATGCATGATTGACACCTATATTTTTTTGCTGTGCTGAGAAAGTTAATCCAAAATTGTACTGTACTTCATGAGAAAAGTTTTGATGGTAGTTTTTTTCAGCAGGCAGCAGTATCTACCATTATAGGAACTGCGGATACAATTACAAATTAGCTTCAGCATTTACTTCAATAAACACAAAATAAATTATAAGTTATTTTATTTTATTTATGTTATGTATTTATAATAACTTTTGCTTGGACCTCCTGCAAAACAGTGCATTAGAGCGTCGTGGTTCGAGGGCAGAGCTGAGGAGATCTTCCCTCTACAGCACATTAGACCTAGTGCCACAGCTGGAGCATTATGCCGGCACACTGCCACACAAACAAGTGAGGAGCCGGCCCTCTCTTGAGGCTCTCCGCAGGGCATTTGAGGTAAGTTTTAGACCTCTGGAAACCACATCATGCAGTAACTTCCATCATCTAGCAGACCCTTGGGAATCAAACCTTGAAAGTACATTAATCTAGTCTTCACCTTATATCTTACCTTATTACCTTGTAGAAAGTGGGAGCTATTATTTGCAAGAAAGCAGTTAGTAGATCATTGTAAAAACAAAGACATTTATAGAGTCTCCATTAATTTCTCAAACTAAATGTATCCCTATATGATTGTCTATCTCTCCCTCTTTGTATAAAATGTATTTTTCTCAGGATGTGGAAGGGGCAAGCACCACCACTGACTCAGGTGTCAGCAGTCTGCCAGCGACTGACAACGGGAATGAAGAATCACAAGGTCCACAGGAGAAAGCTCCTACTAGATTTGGCTGGATAATTGGTGTCATGGTAAGCGAAGCGAAGACATGCAAAACATGGACAAAAGCTTCATGCACTGCTTATTTCAATTGTTATAACACTTGATGTATGAAACAATCTTTCAAACATCACAATAAAAAAACTTTCTGAGCTGTTTTATTTAACTTTTGTCATAGGTTCGTTGCATGCTAAACATTTGGGGGGTTATCCTGTTTCTCCGGCTATCGTGGATCACTTCTCAGGCAGGCATTTGTGAGTTATCACTTCATTTATCCCTCTATTTATTAGTCCCTTCCATTCCTATGTGGCTTCTTGTGGCTGTAATATGCATTTGCTTCACCCTTACTCTCTTATCTCTGACTTGATTTAACTTTTACACATTATGTTGCATGAGAATAGTGTGTTCACATTGCTGGTAGAGCTTTATCTCAGGTGCAGGGTAAAACTTGAAGTTGAGGAAAAGAAAAGGAAACTCCTTGAAAAACATAATGATAATTGAAACATAACACAATCAAACCTAATGAAGAAACAAAATCATTTGACCCTTTTTTATTGCCAATTTAAGTCAATTCAACCAAACGTTGTTCCCTACGATGATCAAAAACTGATTATATATGGGTTTAAAGGTATGTGGAATTTAAAGAGGTCCAGTCCATTCTCTAGATAAGATGAAGAAGCCAGGTACCGAAGCCTAAAAAAAAATACCCAACAATATTGATAAGGTATTGTAGTAATGATGAATACCTCCATTTGTCTATCTCAGTGTTGACCTGGCTTATTATCCTGATGTCTGTGATGGTTACCTCAGTAACTGCCCTCTCCATCTCTGCCATTGCCACCAACGGGAGAGTGGTCTCAGGTCAGTCACTTCCTGTGTCTCAAAATATGTGCAGTCAAGCATTCGGAGATTCAAAGTAAGGTCTGAAAACATCACACACAAAAATGGCTAGAGTAATGTATTAATATTATCTATATCAAGAGTATCAAAACTATTTAATGCATTGGACATGTGATAGACTTTTTATACTTACCTTATAAAGATATAGATATATAGATTCTTAAGTTATTGCCTAGTAATTTTACCAACTCATCTACAGCATTCTATGATAAGAACTATGTCTCTTGTCACTCATTTGTGGTTGAACATCATTTTCAGGTGGGGCATATTTTATGATCTCCCGCTCTCTGGGTCCTGAAATTGGCGGACCAATTGGGGTGGTTTTTTCCTTTGCCAACGCTCTGGCCTGTGCCCTCAACACTGTTGGCTTTGCAGAGGTGGTCCGTGATCTAATGCTGGTATTTATGCTTCAACTCTCGTAAAAGAAATGTATAATAGTTTATTTTACATAACCCATGAGATTATAGGTACTTGACAAGGCAGGAATCTCTGATAGCACATGTTTGTTATGTTTGAAGTTCTCCACTGACTTACTCTGTACACAAAGATTTTTTGGTTCTTATTTATGTGTAAATAATTTGGTTGTATTAATGTAGGAGTTCAATGTCGTCATGGTCGATTCAATCAACGACGTCCGTATTGTGGGCGTAATCACTGTGACTGTTCTTCTGCTCATATCATTGGCTGGAATGGAGTGGGAGTCCAAGGTGAGCACATCCTGACACATCTCACTTTATTTGCTGGATTTGGCCCATATGTCTCCTTATACTAACTTTTTAAACTCTTAATCATATTTTTTCTTCTCTCTCATTTGTCTCTCAGACCCAGATTTTGTTCTTTTTAGTTCTCTTGATCTCATTTGCTAACTACATTGTGGGCACATTCATCCCTCCCAGTAGAGAGAAACAAGCTGTGGGCGTCTTTGGATACCGCAGTGAGTTCAGGATTCTCAGGACAAACCTTTGCCTTTTATTACAGCAACTGTTTGAATAATTCACTTTAATTTACGTAATGCACAGGGGCTGGTCCAGAGAATGGGCGCTGAAATCTGTTTTGCATACAGTATTTTGCACGTGGTATAAATATGTTATTTTTGCCAAGTGTGTATTTGACTATTTCTGCATACTGGGGACCATAAACAGTATTGGAATTGCATAAATTGGGAATGACTGGAAAGCTGAGACACATACTTCATGCCACCCCTGCATAAGTCAGTGGCCCATTTGTGCCACCCCAGTCAAAAATGTCTGGAAACGCCCCTGTCAGAGTAGGAATCATTATACGTCATTATTACTTTGAAATGTTTGTTAAAATGTTTGTTTTTTGCACTTATTATATTCATTTTAAAACCACAGAAATCGGCAAAAAATTCAAAATAAGGGCAAAATTGGATTACATAAAATATAAATAGCAGTTCTATAGTTTCACTTTTTTTAATTTGTAGATTATATAACTGTTCTTGCCACCAGAAAAAACTCTCTCTCTCTCTCTCTGTCACCAGGTGATATCTTTGTAGAAAACCTGACACCAGACTGGAGAGGACCTGATGGCAGCTTTTTCCAGATGTTTGCCATTTTCTTCCCCTCTGCCATCGGCATCCTTTCTGGAGCCAATATCTCTGGAGACCTTAAAGTATGAAAACAAAGAGAGCAGAGAGATACTTATTACATCACAGCCACCAAAAAGGACAACATGAATGTTGACTTGTGTATTATTTGCTTTTGCAGGACCCTGCTACTGCTATCCCCAAAGGCACCCTCATGGCCATTTTCTGGACTACAGTCAGCTATCTAGTTATTTCTGTAACTGTTGGTAAGATACTCATTTAACAAGCTCGCATTATTTTTTATTTTTATTTGCTTCTCATTTAATTGAATTTTTTGAGGTGCAAGGTAGTTTTGGAGAAGCAACAGGAGGCATGGGAGCTGAGGGGTTATCACTTATATATTGCATGAGCATGAGAGGGTTGATGGGCTTTGTCATAATTCATCACAGCACTGAAAGTCCCCATGACCAGGACAAATGCCTCCAAAAATCAGTAATTCCAGCTGTTATTAAATTTATAAACAAGCAGGTAACATCTGCACATACTATATCTAAAAAGTCCATATCAAAAATGTACCTAAACTCGACATGCTTAAATACATTTTCAAAATAAGAGAGATCTAACTGAAGAGACTCAAGTCAGACGCAAACCAAGTAGACCCAATATGTTGTCTGCTCAAATAAACACAGGGAAGACCCCAACATTTGCAGCAGCAGGAAGCAGCATTGTTTTAAAGAGCAGTTGTGGTTGAAAAGAGCAGCAATACATTTTCCCTACACTACACTTTACACTCTCCATCTTGCATCTAAATTATTACAGCACAGTATTGCACATAATTAGAGCTGAGAATAAATCCTCTCAAATCCTCCCAAGGAGCAGCTGTTAGACATTTTGACACACTCAGGTCCATTCAGCTATGTTCAGAGAATCAAATAAAAAAAAAAACTAAACTAACTAAAACACTTGCATTTGCAGTCTGAAATCTCACCTTACAATATGACTGTCATATTTATGTTTGTTCTCCTCAAGCGGCTTGTGTGGTGCGTGACGCCTCCGGTAACCTAACCGACATTCTGACTGGAAACATGACTGACGGCTGTGTGGGTCTGGCATGTAACATGGGCTGGAACTTCACAGAGTGCATCCAGTCACAGACTTGTACTTATGGTCTGGCCAACAGTTCAAAGGTACCATTTAATCCAGAAGGCCTTCTGTCTACAATGGAATAAAAATATAACGTAAATACTTATTCTTAATGATGACTATTCCAACCAGGTACTGGGCCAAGTTTCAGGTTTATCCTATCTCATCACTGCTGGTGTCTTTGCAGCCAGCTTGTCATCTGCCCTTGGTTTCCTTGTCTCTGCCCCTAAAGTCTTTCAGGTGAGACGCACTCTGATAATAAACTGAGTTTAACTTCTTCCTCTATTAAAAGCTGGTATATTTTTAAACATGATTAATCATCATGTAATTTAGAGTATCTTCTACTCTGACATATTATCTGTGTATAGAACAGAACTTTCTTTTTTAATATGGCCACAATGAGATCTACCGTAGTAAAGTTTCTACATAGTACTAGTACTTTTACAATGACTAAGAGTGAGAGTGTTACAAAATGAAAAAAAGCACAGACATTAAGTAAGTAGGCACATTGACTAAAACAGTGGTTCTCAAGCTTTTAGAGTCGCGATCCCCCAAAGTAATCATGATGTTGTTCCAGACCCTGCACCCCCAATGTGTAACAAATTAAAGCTACCAAACATACAGGAAGACCATTGCTTTGCCCACCTACAAAACAACAACTAATTCATGTTTTTAGATTTATCTTTTTTAGAGTCAACGTGTCTGCTTTAGGCCTAAAAGCACAATAACAGACAGAAATATATTCTCATATTACTGAGGTAGATGTAGTGAAGTCTAACATGATGCACATTTTTGTTTTATTAACTTATTTTTTCTGCCTTATCTGCCAGTGTCTTTGCAGAGACAAAATATACCCATACATCGGATTCTTTGCAAAGGGTTATGGGAAAAATGATGAGCCTCTCCGAGCCTATTTACTCTGCTACGTCATTGCTGTGGCCTTCATTCTCATCGGTGGGTGTGATCTAATACTGTTGCCCTTTTGTTATTGTAATTATTGATTCACATATGTTTTTGTATGCTAATCTCGTCACAAAAAGGTGTTTTTTGTTCTTGTTGTTATACGTTTTTGATTACGTTTATCTAGCTCTGGAGTTGTAACGTGTTTTTGATTTTTCTCTCCCGTATTGTTATAGCTGAGCTGAACACCATCGCAGCCTTGATCTCCAACTTCTTCCTGTGTTCCTACAGCCTCATCAACTTCAGCTGCTTTCACGCTTCAATCACCAACTCCCCTGGTAAGTTCCCTGCTAACACACAACACCACACACACAGGTCCCCCAAACTAAATGAAAAAAATGTTTGTTGTTTGTCATCCAAAAAGATTTCGAGTCTGACTACTGCTATGGCTAAGGTTTAGGGCAGTGGCTCACTAAAGCTAACAATTTGGATTAAATTTGATTATTTTTTGTGAATATTGCATCAGAGATGAGTTTTCCTGAGGTTTATAGGGTATTTATTTATGTATATGTTTTTATTTTTTTTAACAATCACACATTCTTATTAGGCTTGTTTTTGACTAATTCAGTGGGTTTTTTTCTTCCTGACTACCATTGTTCAATTAGCTCATTGGTCGTTTAACTGGTGGACATTACAAGTTACGTGTTATGCCACCTAAAAGCTGTCTATTTCTCATTGTTGCCCTCTCTAGGTTGGAGGCCGTCATTTCACTACTACAGTAAATGGACTGCGTTGTTTGGAGCAGTGATATCTGTGGTGCTGATGTTCCTGTTCACCTGGTGGGCTGCTCTCATAACCTTCTGTATCATCTTCTTCCTGTTTGGATACGTCAACTACAACAAGCCAAGTAAGTCCAAAACAGTTAATACTGTATATTTTTTAATGCAATCGTGTTCTGATAAAACTGGCCTTGATTAAGAGTGGAATAAGTCAGAACTGTGTGATTTTTTTCCCTTATTTAGTTTTGTCTCTCAGTTCTTTCACTGTCACCTCACTTGAGTGTGTTTTTGACACCCACAGAGGTAAATTGGGGTTCGTCGGTCCAGGCAGGTACATACAACATGGCTTTGTCATACTCTGTCTCTCTGTCTGGTGTTAAGGATCATGTCAAGAATTTTAGGTGAGTGACAAATGTGACATTTTATAGTATGCATCAATAATTATTTTATTACATCAGCTGATGTTTGTATGAGAACACTTGTTACTCTCCTAAGTGCCAATGCCATCTTAATTAACAATGAATGCAGCATTGGTGAATATAGACCTTCCTCTTATTTTTTTTTAAAATTTAATCTCATTTTTAATCTCTAAATTCTCATTTAGTAGACAAAAGTAAAGTACATTTTATATTTTAGTGATCATCGGTGGTGATTATATTTATTTATACACATGACATAGACCCTCATATGTGTTTTCTGATTTGTTTTTCAGACCACAATGCCTCGTACTGACTGGGCCACCAAACCAGCGACCAGCCCTGGTGGACTTTGTCGGCTCTTTCACTAAACATATAAGCCTCATGATCTGTGGAGACATAATCATGGTCAGTCATTCAGTCTCAACATTTTACTAATAAAAATAAAGCTGTGTTTTTGATTTGTTGTTGTGATCTGCACTTTACTGCCACCGTCAAAGAGAGATGGTTTAGTATTAAAGAAGCTATCCAATCCTAAGCATCCCTTCAGTAGCTTTTCATCAGACAGATGAAGAAGACATGTTAAATGGTTTTAGTTTGCTTGCTTGTCTTTCACTGAATCCTCCTTGTTGTTTAAAGATATTAATGAATTCTTTCAGGAGCAGGACAGGCAGACTCGGCCGCAGGATACCACTGACAGCTTGGTGAAGTGGATGAACAGGAGGAAGGTGCGCTCCTTTTATACTCCTTTCACTGCGGACAGCCTCAGAGCCGGAGCACGACACTTGATACAGGTAAAATATATTTTAGTTAAGAAGCTGCATGTGTTGATCTGTGGGAAATAACTAAGCTTTAGTCATCCAAAGCATATTTAGTTAAGGTAAACATTACTTTCAATAAACATTTGATCATCCAAGGACCTCCTATATTGTATATTTACTCAACAATGTGTATTTATTTGTATTTTATTAACCTAAAACTTTAAATAAAATTTTTGTTCTCATTTGACTTTTGAAAGGCTTCTGGTCTCGGCAAGCTGAAGCCCAACACTCTGGTCCTGGGCTTCAAGGCAAACTGGAGGGACAGTTCTCCTGAAAGCATTGAAGATTATACCAACACCATATAGTAAGAGTAGTTAAAGAAAAGAAAAACTATGTTTTGTGCCAACGCAGCTTTATATAGTGTGAGAAAATTAAGGCTGTGAACTAATACCATGCCACAAACTTTGTGATGTCCAGACTCTGATGATAAACATGTAAGTGCCATAGAAACATACAACTTCCCTGCAATAAATCCTGCCTTCATGAATGTTCAGATTTAGTTTAAACAGTTTTGGCGCCACCTACTGCTTAACTCGATGTTCCAACTCCTAATAACCACATGATGGTAGTAGATGGAAACAAGCACTGCCTTTGCATTTTCTTTTACCAAATCACTCCACATTTGGTTAAAATTTGCAATAAAAAATAATTATTGGGCGGCAGTAGCTCAGTATGTAGGGACTGCTTGGAGGTGCCAGTTTCACCTCCTGTGCACTGCCGAGGTGCCCTTGAACAGTTCAACCAACTAACCCCAACCGCTAATGGGCTGCTGTTAAACCTTGCAGCACCGTCACCCTACCATCTTCTCTCCCTGTTTGCATGTCCACAAGTGCATTGAAAGTGTGTATTTCAGCCTGTGTGTGTGTGTAAAAAAAAGAGTGAAAAGAACAATTTCCCCTAGGGGATTAATAAAGTATATATCTTCTTCTTCTAATCCACTTTAAAACTCAAATCTTACCTTCTTGTCTTGCTTTTCTTTTCTCTAGTGATACCTTTGACTCCAATTACTGTTTGTGTATCTTGAGGATGATGGACGGGCTGGATATCTCTGACCAGTTTGACTTTGAAGGTTAGACATCCAGATTTCAGATTTTTTGAATTTTCTGTGTGTGTGTGTGTGCCTAAAACATGACATATTTGCATAACATTCAACACAAAAAACAATGGTGACGGATGTAATGTCTGTCCTCCAGTGAACCAGGGCTTTGAGCCGGATGAATCTGTTGAAAATGACGACCAGCAGTCTCCTGAGGGGGAATCCGGTGAGCTTTTACTTTATGCACTCTCACACATTAGACTACAATATTTTGCATTCACTCCTGAAGGGGTGGGAGTGTTGAGGCGAGAGCACTGTAATCTGCAACAACACTGTTAGATACCACTAAATCTTACATACTGATTCTTTAAACTGCAATAAGGCACTTCTGGGTTAAAGATGATGGAATAGACCCAATGGCCTTCTATGCCATATACCACCTCATACATATATAATTATTTCCTCCACACCTCACTCCTTCTCCTTTTGCTGTTACAGCTGACAACATCTCAGATAAAGGCGACAGCAATCAGATCAAGACAGTGTTTCAGAATGACCAGGGGAAGAAGACCATCGACGTCTACTGGATAGCTGACGATGGAGGTGAGACCAAAGAGATCTGTCAAAACAAGCACAATACACTAGTTGTATTTTGACTTGTTAATATCTGTAAAATATCAGATATATTTAAGAGGATGGGATCATAATCAGTATAATATGTATCCCGTCATTTATTACAATAATGGTTAGTGGACACAAGAGACAGTGGCCCCTATGTCTTACACTGCAGACTGCACACAAAGCCATGCACTTTTATCATGGCTCCTCTTTCTAAACTGCAATATTTATCTTCCTCTCTTTTAAAGGCCTGACTCTGTTGGTGCCTTACCTGCTGACCAGGAGGAAACGCTGGCACCGCAGTAAGGTCAGGGTCTTCATCGTAGGAGATGAACAAAACATGGATGAAGGCCGCAACGAGTAGGTTTTTTCTGTTCTACTTTCTGGATAAATTACTTGATGATCAGTTTAATTTTGACTTGTTATGATCTGCATTTATATAAGTGTATTTTTGTTTTAAATAAAATCATGCATTTATTCATACATGTTAATTGGAATGTAAGCGGGTAGATGTATTCTGAAATATTTTGTGCAATACATTAGACTTTCTTATTTCTTTCTCCAGTTCATGGACATTTTCCATTGCAGTACATAACAGAGTGCATGATGGTTTGTGGGAACTGATGTGCTTAGACTTTGATTGTTGTTTCTTGTAGGATGATCGCTCTGTTGAAGAGGTTTCGGTTGGATTTTAACGATGTTATAGTTATGACAGACAGTGAGAGGCCTCCACTTGCTAAGAAGTAAGTTTCCAAAGACATTTCACCTAAACTAAACACCTAAACTACAAACTAAACTTTGTAAAATTTGCATTTTTAAATATTTAAATTTAAGAAAGTGCTTTACAGATGTTAAGAGCTCATTGAGCCTCCAAAGACCAAGACTGGATTTCTGTAGTTCTTTGTCATTTCAGTTGATTTTATTTTTGTACTTCACCGCATGCTGACTCCTGTTCTTTTGTTCTTGCTGCCTCTCAGCCTGAGTAGGTTTGTGGATAGTGTCGCCCCCTTCAGACTATACGATGAACAGCAGGAAGGTGTCTCAGTTCAGGAGCTGAGACAAAGCACCCCATGGAAAATATCAGACAAAGAGTTTGAGGCATTCAAACTTAAGGTGAGTGCACGTATTTGTGCTGTCCATTTTGATCCAGTGAGAATAAACAAGTGTCAAATGTCTCTGTGTATGAGGCCCATCAGTTGTAAGTTTACTTACTTTTATTCCTTCCCTTCACAGTCTGAGAGAAAAGTGAGGCTGAATGAAATCATCCGGAAGAATTCACAACACGCCTCACTCGTGCTTGTGTGAGTACACATGGTCCTATATCCACCCTCATATCCCCACCTTCTGTCTCAATATTCAGTCAGTTTTACTCTAACCTACTTATAAATGCTAAATGGGGGATTTAGCATTTATAAGCACTACATAAACATTTAATAAATGATTTATAGAGCACTATAGTGTAGCTGTAAGCAGATAAAAGGACATTTTAACTGTTTAGTTGTTAAAAAAACCACATTAATTACCAATTACAATAAATTATACAATTATATCCGCTTAACCATACATTGTAGTGCTCTATACACCATTAATAAATATGTATACAGTGCTGCTGAATACAGGGAGTTACAATGTTAAAAAAGTGTTACAGTACTAGTACATATTAAGAGATAAATAAAAAAATTTAAGTACGACAATATAGACTTTTTTAGAAAGTTAAGTTACAATATGTGGAGAACATTTTTCAGATAGTGCCACCAAGTTCTATAAAATTGGTGAAAACAGTGAAATAACACCACATGTTCAAAAGTATGTTGACAAGGAAACAAAGTATGTGAACACTTTAGCATTACACCTACATGTGATTGTTAAAAAGCTCATTCCAAAAACCATGCGCATTAATTTGCTCCAGCCAGCCTCCACTCTTTCTGATTTCTTTTTAGATTTCAGCCACAAGAGCATTAGTGAAGTCAGCCACTGATGTCTGGTAACAAAGCCTAGCACATAATTAGTTCAAGTTCATCCCAAAGGAGCTAGATTGGGTTGAGGTCAGGTCTCTGTGCAGGCCGGTCAAGTTCTTACACACCTTTGTGCACAGGGCCATTATTATGTTGAAACAGGGAAGGGCATTCTCTAAACTGGTATCAAAATTTCTCTTGATTGGAACAGTCAGTGGCTAAAGTATGTATTATAATGATATTTTAACCTATTTAAAGAAAATTATAAATGTTTGGCTTTGCACGTAATAAAGGTGAAACATGTAACAGGCCATCAGTATTGAAAACAATACATTGTCTGATGCACACAGACATGCAAAATTATACACAAAGAGCCACCTGATGATGGCTATTTCCATGGAAGTGTGAGTCGGACAAAGGATGGAAAAAGATGGAAGAGATAAAATATTTTTTGGATCGCTGCAAACCACAACATGCACTAATTTGACTTGTGTAATATTCTCGTAATAGGTCAAGTAAGGGCAGTGTTTGTTCTTCTGTGCTGTTTTGTTCATGTAAATGTGATGGTTTTTCCAGGAGCCTACCTGTGCCACACAGTGACTGTCCCAGTGCTCTGTACATGGCCTGGCTGGATACTCTGACCCGTGGCCTTCACTGCCCCGTGGTGCTTATACGAGGAAACCAGCAGAATGTCCTCACCTACTACTGCCAGTAAAAAATACCCCAGGAACAAAGGGAAAATACAACATAAACCCAATAAGTGAAATAAGTTAAAAAGAATGTGTGAAACTGGTGCCAATTGAGGGTTAACAAACCTGATAGAGTAAGAGCTCTTATAGACAGTGATGGAAGATAACACCATTGTAGTTACTTGTATCACTGTCATCAAGATCATCTTCAGGATTATGTGGATACCAACACCACCATAGTCAATTTCCTTCTGCAACAGCTGGACTCCCTTGATGCTGCTCTGCCTAAGCCACAACTTGAAACAAAAGGTGATAGAAGACGCACCAGAGACCCGAAGAGAGTGAGTTTTATTCAGGTTTTAAGGTAGTCTGAGATGCTGAGTGGTTATACAGACTGCTGTCCTGGATTGTTGACAGGTACCATGAATGAACACAGAAATACACAAAATCCCTCCCATATATTTACTATATTGTGTGTATATGTAATATACTACTAGTTCAGCCTTAATGAACAGTCCATTAAATGGGTTTATCACTATCTATATAGAACTCAGGCAGTATTTTCCAGTGGTTCCAAATTAAGTGCTCTTAAGGTTAGTATAGATGTCCAGCTAGGGTCTGTTCTTGGTCCTCTTTGTTTTAAGATTGTTTTTTGTAAGATTCGTGCCATTTACTAAGAGAGATGCTCAATATAATTTCAATATAAATATTGTACAGTAAATATGAAGATGGAGTTAGTGAATTTTAGAGTTTCATTATATAACGTATTTATTTAAAAACGGCAAATTATGTGTGAACATTAAAAACGATCAGTACTTATTAATAAATAACTGGGAGAAATGTAACATAGGTAATAAGTATAATAACTAAGTTTAGCTATTAGTAGTTACTGAACCATTTTCACATATGACATAACTTGATAATTGTTCCTGCTGAGAGCAGAGCCTAATGACTGAGTACCTTTGACCTTGGGGAATGTTATTTGTGCATACAAGGATTTCAACTTTGTTGCTGAGGAAAAGTTGAAGTCTTTTGGATTAAACTTGCTCTGTATAGGCAATAACAAATTTAATTTTTTGGCAAATTCGACTTCAACTTGACTTAATGTTGTAAATTTTTTTGTATTTGCATGATTATTTCATTGTAAAATTATATCTTGTGAGTTATTTTTTATTCATATTGTATTTACATAAGATGTGTCTAAAAATGAAATAATAAATGTAAATGTAAATTAAATACTTTATTTAGGATTCCAAAATATGCATCTTCGGAGCTCAAATATTAAAGTGTAAAGCAAATTCAATATTTTCCCCACATGTGACTAGATTCTTTAAAACTTCGTTAATCTGCATTATTTGTACAGGCTGCTTATTGTGTAATGTATTTGTATTTATCTGCTCTATCTGTGATATGTTGGTTTTCTATAATTAATTAAATTACAACTATGCTAAAGGTTATGGACTTCTATTCTTGTCAACAATGGATAGTATTCCTGGTGATGATAAAGAACAAAATCCTCTATATATTTTAATATTCAAATGCTGATGTCAGTGTGGCAACCTGAGTGTATTAACAGGATTAATATACTGTTATGATCAGTCTGTATCAGCACAGAAGGGAGAGACATCAGAGCAGAGTGAAGCTGAGGAGGGCAGGAAGCAGAAGACGTAAGTTAAGATTCTGCTGTATTATTTTAGATCTAATGTTTGTATAGAGGTGGACTGTTTATTAATCAGTTTTTCTAATACTTACAGTAAAAATTATACTTTAAAATAAAAATAAAAACTAACTTTTTCAACAGTATGTTTGCATTTTTAGACACAATAACATCACCTGTATCACCACTAATCCAATATTAACCTTGTAATTGTGAAATGATCCAACAAAATGTTAAGAGTGCATTATTATATGTTAAGTAAACCTGCTTTTTTTTCACAATAACTTTCTTAAAATTATTTTAAATTAAATATTTGCATTTAATTCCAAACGTTTTTATATTTCAAAATGCGTATTTACAAAGATGTTTTTTTTTTTTTTTAAGAATACCATTTTCTACTATTATTTTACATCTTCTTTGTCTTTACCCATCAAGACAAGCCAAACAAGGCAGAGCCATCAATGCAATCGGCTGTTCACTCATTTAGATAAGCAGTTAAAAGAATAACGGGAATATTTCACAATTTCATGGCTGTTTATCTGTATTTATTCAGTATTATTTTTAGTTTACTGTGTGTTCACTGTTCAATGTATTATTTGTGTATCATTTGCTTACATGAGTATAAAATATAAATGATGAACATAATTACATCCACAATTGATGACCTACATATTAATAAATCATGTGAGGACCATCACTGCTTTATTTTAGGTTTAATTTGGGCAATGTCATGAGAAGCAGGGTTAGGGTTAGGGTTAGTCGATAAAAAGTTCACTTTCTTAAACTTCCTTCAACCGAGTAACACATATAACAGCTCTGTTTATTGAGCTACATTTTCAGTTTTATTGTCTGAGATTCCCAAATAAAGTGGGAAGGTTTCTAACATTTAAATGTGAACTCCTTCTTTTTGTTACTAACCCTTTACTGTGGCTCAATAAAACACTGTCCATGGAAGTTTCATACTAAAAATACAAACTTTAGCAAGATTCCCACTTGATTTGACCTATTTTATTGTACAGGTTGTGCATGTAAGTATTGTATTAAGATAGAAAAGGTCTTATCACCCTCACCATCTCAGACAGAGAACATGAAAAAGCTCTAAACAGCCATCTTGGTGCATTTTCTCCAAAGATGGGAACGCAATTTAAAAAATATAAGAGTGTTAGGGCCCAGAACATTATAAGCATTCGAGCAAAATGAATCCATTGCAAGGCAGTTATAACCTACTGTATTACACTAATACCCACAAGGTGTTTTTAATATTGTGCCCAATCTTTATTACTCACGTCACACATTTTCATTGGCTAGTGTTGCACTTCCTAATATGAACAACTGATGAATTGATTTGCATACTTTCTACTTAACCAGACTCCTGCCTAAACTTTGTGTCCTAAGGGAGTTGGAAATATTTTTGTTTTGTTTTTTGAAACTGCACATAGAAGAATTTTACTGTATTTCCCTGAACCTAAATAAAATCTGTTAAAGTTATTGTGTTCTCATCAACATATTTAACAGAGCAAAGATGCAGTGGAGTCTGTTTCTGCTTATTCTGATGGGTAAGTGGATCATCTTAACAGCTCTACTGCAGTACTAGCTGCCTGTTTTTAGCTGAAATTACTGAGTCAGCTCACTCTTTTTATCAATACAAAGTAAAATAAGTGGACTCAGAGCCCTATTTGAATTAAGAGGATGGTGTAAGTAGTAGGTGTAACCTGGGTACTTTTTGATTTAATAGATGCTTGTCATATTACTGGCTCCAACACTGCAGTATTTTCTCTGCTTTCAGGTCAATGTTCCGTCTTCACCTGTCACCTCTATAAGTACGACTTTATTAAAGAGAACAAGACCTGGGATGAAGCCCAGAAATATTGCAGGAAGAAGCATACTGACCTGGCCACTGTGTATGACATGACAGACATGGAGAGACTCCGTGACTCTACAAAGAAACAAGAGGCAGTCTGGATTGGGCTGCGCAGCAACCCAGGAACAGACAACAGGACGTGGCACTGGTCTCTGCCAGGGGTGGAGTTCAATGACAGTGAGACAAAGACAAAGTGGGCTGATGGTGAACCGAATGATAAAGATGGAACTTCTACTGAAAACTGTGTGCGGATGGACGGGTTTAAATGGAAGGATGATAAATGTAACACTAACTACAGTTTTATCTGCTACAATGGTGAGACTATATTACTAAAAATGCTATTGTGTGTATTCAGCACATAATCCTGTCTAATAATTGATTTCTATGTACAGTGGAATCATGCTCATTTACATCCCAATATTGTTTCACCTGTTTTAAGTAAGAAAATAGGATTTTATGAGACTAAATAACTTGGTCCAAGTTTGTCTGTTTATTCCACAGAAACACAGGAACCCAATAAAAAATTCCATTTGATTAACAAAACACTGAGCTGGCCCAAAGCTCAGAACTACTGCAGAGAAAATCACACCGACCTGGTCAGTGGACTCAGTCAGTTAAATGACACCGATCTCAAGACTGAAATTCAGTCTCAGTCCATGCTGTGGATCGGCCTGTTCAGAGACACCTGGAGGTGGTCAGATGGGAGTCATTTCTCTTTCAGAAACTGGGATCTTGAAGTTATTTAAAAGAATGACGACAGCAAGAAATGTCCATGACTATGTTAGATGGAACTGGAAAATGGGGCTCTGATGATTGTATACAAAAAGATCCTTCTTCTGCTATGAAGGTGAGTTTTACAAAGGTCTGCCTCAACTGTTTTCTCCTATAAGAGCAGCACTGGAATCAGTCGGAAGATTCAGCTGAACTTACAGTATTTATTTATTATTACTTATTTATGCATGTATGTTGAATATTTGGATTCTGTCTGGATTCTTACTTAAATGAATATATATTAAAATATTAAAAAAGCTGTTGGAACAAAGATATTATGCAATTTGATATCATTTGGTTAAGTTACAGCTACATGTTGGTTTGTTTGAATCTTGTTTGTTTAACAATATTAGACAATTTAATATTTGGAATATTATATTTTTGTGTTGGTCTTATTTTCTTATATTTCGTTAATCACCATTCTAACAACCATTAATTAGTGACTGTTACAGACGCTGGCTAAATCTGAAATACAATGTTCTGCTTAATTATACGTACTGAAAAAGCATCAAATCAACATTAGTAACAAAACCTAAAAGCAGAGAATTAAAACTGTGATTATTCTTCAATATGAGTATCTAACCAATTCATATTGGACACCAAGTGGTTCCAACAATGAACTGAACAAGGCTGGATGATCCGTGTTTGTTTAATCGGTTTTGCAATGACAGATAGATTTTGTCCCACCTGATCAACGAGCAACAAGACTTGGGAGAGGCCTTATATATTACTGAAAGATTGCCTACAATGACCTGCGGCCCCTCCATCACCAACCTTAAGAGCAGAGATGGATCCAATCAGAAAGCAACGACGGGCTTCCAACTCCTTTTGTCTTGGCTGGGAATAGCCGCTACACCTGCACCCTGACTTCTGGTTCTGGGTCAGTGACGAGGTCGTCGGTTATAAGAACTTGGCTCAATCAGGTGGAGGAATGATGAGTGTGACATGGTCTGGAGTATGGGAAAGAGGAGGAGACCATAAGTGGTCCAGTCAGCCTGATAATAACACTTATAATTTCATCTGTTCTACGTTTTAAAACATTTCTGTTTTTGGTGGTGTGTTTCTCTTGAACAAGCTTGTCTGTTCTTTCATTCAGTTTGAGACAAAGGACTACATGTACACTGAAGCTAGTTACAAAGTAGTGCATAATTGCTAAAGATCTTTTCAAATGTGTTGAAAAAAAACTTTATTGTTATGAGACTAACAACTTTGTATATTTTTTTTTAGTTCTTACTGTGGCAGTTTTTTTTCTCCACAGAAACAAAGCAACTCAATACTGAGTGAGGCAGACTGTAACTCGCTCAATTCTAAACCTGATGTTTGTTAAATTTGTCTTGTTATAAACATGAGATACTTGACTTTTTCGAATAAGTTCAGTTAATTGGGTGGATCTAATCAGTTTTTAGCCAAAATATGAATCTTCTGAACTGCCACTGAGAAACACAGTCTCTGATCTATGAATTGGCAATGTCATGTGCAAATTATTTTGAATCTATTGTATTGTTATAAAGCTGACTGGTTACTTGTATTTGTATTAACAATTCAAAAAAATCACTAATAAAATAAAGTAAAAAGACTATTTTTGACTTCAGTAACATCATTCTGGTTCACCATGTCTTTTGGTCAGTTATCTACAACCATTGATGGTTCAATGTCTGTGCAGACAAAATCAGAAAACCAGAACGCAAGAGTATTGCATTTCAGTGTTACCAACAGAGGGCAGCATTTTTCCTAATGTTATATATGCCCATGCCAATAAAACATCAAATCATAAATTGGGGGTGTAACCATAGGTGGAGCTTATTAGGGAGGACATGAGCTGACTGCAGCCATGAGTGACAGCCGTATACATTAAAACACTTTCCTATGGGACACTGTGACTGCTAGGTTAAGCTGTTTCCCCCAAATAACTTGATGAGGAAGTTGAGAACAAAATGGTGTTGTTTATGTTTGTCAATCAAGAAACCAACTCCACGACAGAGTCATTAGTAATAACTCTTACTCTTATTCTTATTCTTATATATACTCTATCCCCTTTGGAAAACAGTACTGTTTCATGTGCCTTTCATGTCAAATGAGAAAACTAACTACAACACAAGATTGTGGTGTGGATATGGAAGTATATACTGTATATATATATATTAACGG